ATCTCATTCATTATTACACTCAGCAGTTGTTGTACCCAGCTCTTCTTAAGCTGGAGAGTCTGAGAGTGAGTATTAGAGCTGGAATGAGGACCTATGACTCTGGGGTTTGGAATTGTCATTTATCCTATTGCGGAATGCAAGCCCTCACAAATTTTGTGAAGTACACTCCAAAGACATGGTTTTGTTCTCAACTGTGATGACACTATAATTGATCAAATATATTCTTTCAAAGAATCATAAATTCTTATTGGAGTTTGAGGAGATGTCATGTTCATTTGTCAACATGTCACTCCAGGGACACAGGTGCAACAAATTTATGGAGGAAGCACCTCGTGTTTCTCCTGAGCCACATCAATATGAGGCAGAATTGATTGGACACGCGTGGCTTTAGATTACTGCTCAGACGGAGAGCAATTAAGATCTCTCTGTAGAAGACATTGCACTAGGGTTCTCAGGTTTTCTTGTAGCATAGGCAGGGATCAGGTCTGAGGGGACACCAAAGAAATTTTTGGAGACCTGCAGATGTCTTCTCAGAAAAGAATACTAAGGCATTTCTTCTCTGGCAGAGAGAATATTGTACATTTTTAGTCAAGTGCGTGATTAACTTTGACATTTGGAAATGGAACTTCACGTAAAAATAAGCATGGTACTTCTGCATGTTTAATTAAGATGTTTAGTTCCTGTCAAGGCTGATAGTTTTTTTTTCCCCCCTGTGAAGGGCAATATATTCTCAACTTCTGAAATTTCAGAAACCTGTACTTAACCTTTAATCGTCACTCCATTTACATGGAAATCTGATTAACAACTTTTAAAGTTCATGAGCTCCTGGTAAACGCAATTAAGACCTTTTTGGAGTTTGTTATTAAGAGCTGGCATTTCAAAAAGACTAGGGCCTGGCTACTGTAGCTGTCTTCTCCATAGCAGGATGTCTTAAGCAATTAGCAGAGAACATGAGGAACATGAATTGTGCGGTGTTGCTTCTGCGTTAACATGGTTGGTATTTAAGCAGCATGCTGTCTTTCTCTTTTCTATGACTTGCTTTATGGTATGAGCTTATTACTGGCTGGTAGAATAAGGGCCAGGATAATTAGGTGGAGCTGTGGCAGTTTTCATAAGTACAAGAGTTAGGCACAGTTCCCACACTTGAATTCATGTTTACAAACATCCATTCTCATGTTGTGTAGAGTGAGGTTAATCAACCTACTGTGCTGGATTTGTTATATCTCTCTACTGGGTGTGGTAGTCCTTTCTTGAGGGTTAAAACTAAAATATGTAGTTATTGGAGAGAGAAATGATGCAGGTATACAACTCTAAACTCTTAGGCATTTGAGTCATTGCCTTTGGGTCATGGGGACAGAAAGAGGGAGTTAAGCTTGTTGGAGCAGACACGCGTAGTATGCTTTACAAACCGAGATGTGCTGTGATGAATGGGAAAAGGCGGGGAGTTAATAGTTGAAAGCAGAAAGGATCTTATTGGATCAGGTGTGGTTTTTGTTCACTTACTGATAGAATTGGGTTTAT